CACGACACGATTATCAAATCGATCATCGACTTCTGTGCAGAAGCTTCCCGGTACCAGGTGTACTGATGCACTTCGATACTCAAAAAAAGTGGTCGTAATGGACAATCCGTTGTTTGCACAAAACCGCAGCATCTTCTTGCCGTTATTGTTGAGGTCGCTAGGGCCGTTTTTTCCAGTGACACCATTCCATTTCTCGGTGTTTAGTCCGACGTGCGCATTAAGATCGTTCGTCAGTGTGAGGGTCTCCGTATTCGGCACTTCGGACAGAGCGCACTGCACTTGCTCAAGGAAGGTGTCATATTCTTCCTCCAAATTGTGCGCATAGACCTGTACCAAGGTCATCGATTTAGCCTGTTTTAGCTTCAGTCGGAGTATTACCACCCTTCCAATCGATTATTCTATCGGTGAGGTTGGGTTCTACCAGAACGCCAACACCGGCCTGAGCGCGAGTCGTGATATCGACGCCTAAGTAGAACAGCTTCCATCCATTGAAGTTCAGGAGTCCAGAGCCTGGGCGTTTTGTTGACGAGATTCCAACAATGTCGAGTTGGTACTTCATGGCCTCATCAACTAGTTCATGTTCTTTTCCTCTGAGTGAGGATGTGTTCCAATTTCCGAGTTTAAACTCCCACTGGTGGTGTCGTTCTCTTGGAGCCTTTTCTGACGTGCTATAATGGCATCGCGCTGTCTGCCTCCTCCGTTCAGAACGGGTTGCTGACTGGTATCTTCGTCGTCGTTCCATCGGTTTTCGTCAGTCGTCGTTGGGCTGCTGCTACGCCTCCGCTGGACAGAGGGCGATGAGAATGTTCAAGATCGCCGACTTTTCGTAGTCTGCCTCAGTCCCCCAGCAGCCTGAGCCGCAATTGGTAACCCAGGCGACGACCGAGGCGGTACAATTTTCGATGGCGTCAGTATCATGAGTGTCAGGTGGATAAATTTTATGGAGATTTCCCACGGTCTTCAACCCCCCTCCTTTCTCTTCCGGGCTGGGGACCGCCTACATCGGAGTACACTGTCTCTTCCATTGTTTAATGGATGAAAGAAAAGCAAAGAAAATTTTTAACCATTCGAATGTCCGTCCTCCTTATACTTTCATAATTGGGGGGGGGGCCATTTTTTTTCAAAGGGTTAGTGGTTATACGCTGATTTCTATTTCCGTTTCATCAACCATCTTACCCTATTTTAAATGCGCAGTTGGCAGCAGTGACATACGATTCATAGTGTTTAATCCCCTGTCTTCTTCTCGCAGTGTTCTACTCAATTTTAACCTTGGAAGGAAGAAAGTCGACTGACCTGACTGGAGCTGCAACAAATGGTCATGCGGTTGTAAGCCTGATGCTCTGCCGACTCGGCAATTCCTGTCTTTCCATTGAAGATTTCTGACTTTATCGCTACTTTTTTTCTATCGCTTGGCTGAGACAGAATATTTCGCTTGATTGGGTATATTTGAAATAAACCCTGGTTCTTGCCGATACCAGAGATTGATTAGAATTTTTTTCGATTATTTTGATTCTTAAGCATTTCGTGCTTTGGCTATTCGAGAACCAGTATCATATTCGTATAATTCTTTTAGTGTCAGTGTCAGGGCATTTCTTATCATCATTCGCCACTGATCTTAACATCACTTCTCCATGCTTTCCAAACTACTGTGCTGCCCCTTTTTACTTGATAATTTTTAATATTGCTTACAGTGCAAGTAATTCGTACTGTAATACAGAAAACTGTATTTATACTTTTTAAAGACGTCTGATCTGTCGAAATCTGTTTGAACAATTGTTGTTTTGAATTTTCTTTTTTGATTAATCTCGTCATTGTGATGCAGGTTCAAAGTCTACCGTACTCTGCAAATATGGTGATCGTTGCAGTAACCCAGTTTGCATCTACAGGCATGCGAAGGTAAGATTAATAGTTCTATGTTTGACTCTGTGTCGACTAATTGAAATCTCATGCCTTTTTTAGTTGAATGGGTTTGGCGATGGATGTAAGAGGCTCAAGAGTCAATTCAATCACCAGCGGAAGCAGGTCGATTTCGGCCGATTTCATTGGGAACCAAACTTGGCCGCAGCAGCCGTGGCAGCTACAATAACGGCAGCAACGGACCCTCCTCAGGAAGCTGTAGTCGATGTCTCCGTGCCGGTGGTGCCCGACCCTGCCTCCGCTAAGCCGGTGTGACAATCACCGACCTTCCTAGTCCATGTTTTGTAATTTATTTACGCTACATTTCATCATTGTCGTTCTTACGACCAGATGATTGAGATGCATAAGAAATGTTTTGCTATATTATGTAGACCTGTAAATATAATTGTTTATTTAATGTTAATTTTGCTTTTTTGTATGGAGAACAATTTATTACTTTTTTTCACCAGCAAGTCGCTTTTGTCTTACTGTTTATTGTCTCTCCATACAGAATTAGCATTTTTTGAAGGCGTGGACGATTTTGAAGAAAACGCGAAGTGGTTTGACTCTTCACCAATTTATGTTACAATCGGCCAAGATGCTTTAGCAACTGTTTAAGGAATTTTGTGTTTTGTTTAAATCAACCTCACTTTAAATTCAGAACAGATTGCGTGAGCATCGAGTTATTTGACTTTGAACAGGCATCTGTTTTGTAAAAGTAAAAATCGTACCTGTTTATTGTTTTGCGCCGTTTGTGACATGGATAATTTTGGTCGTAATTTGTGTCCGTTATTGTGTAGAGTTGTTTATTTGAATGTTTGTTTTTCGAAATTAGGAAAGTTCACCTTTTACTTTGTCGAAGAACTCTTTGACCGTTTTATCTTGACCTAACTTTTTTGAATGTTCTGCGTTTGTATATGTATGTTGTAACTATTGCAATTTATAGTGTTTTTAAAATGAATCTAAATTTTTTGTTTTGCCGCGGCGAACTTTTATCTGAATTATTAAAGTTTTTATCTGACGCGCTGAGCGTGCATTCATGTCCGTTTCTGCTTTCACAAAGGAAAGGTTCTGAGCAGTTGGGCAGTTGTCTGCTTTGCTTTGAGACTTAACTTTTCTGCACGACGTCATCCTAAAAGTAGGTATCTCTGCACATATAAAGTTGCCAATAGCTAGAGTAGGTGATTCACTTAAAAAATACGATGGCATTATTTTCAGTCCGCGGTAGTACTTGTGGGCTAAGGATTCATGAACATCATTACAAATGATAAACCAGATTTTACACTTTTGACTCCTTTTCTTTTAACAAATGTTAATGGTGTTGCATAAGGTTGTGTGGCGTATTGGTCGATTACATGGCGGTCGAAATGTTGCTTGTTCAAATCCTGAGTGAACGCTCGTAGTTCTTGCTTGCCTTGCCAGGTAAATTAATGGAAGACCAAATATTAACTACGCGGCTTAATGGCCTTGGTTGTGTCAGAGTTATTCGACGCTTGTCTGATGGGGGAAGCAATATTAAGCACGGTTTATTAAATGACGCAAGGAATACGATCATTTCGATGATTGATTGACCGGTTTCAGAAATTCGACCAATATCTCCTGATTTTTAAAACCCCTGATGAGATGAGGTGAAACGTCGGTATTGGTAATTCATACTGACAATACTGTTTGCGTTCTGTTAAACTAAACGATGTTTCATGTTGTTTTCCGTTTGTCCGCTAGGCATGAACGAATTACCTGATGCATCTGATGGCTTCAATGCAGAGTAAATCTGCGCCAAAAACTACAAACGAGTGTAGTCGAGAGATCGACGGTCATTTTTCACACAAACCCCTATGAGGTGTATTTAGATTATACTTCTGCCGTAAGTTCTTGATCATAGCTGGTCGGAAAGTTTTGCGTTAGTGTGTTTGTGCTGTGGGTATGTTCCATGCTGTCATTACGGTCAAAATACAAGTATCTGTAAATTAAGAAACGAATATATTTACGGCAGTGGGAACAGAAGCAGACAAATGAAGCTATGAACATGACAAGCTATGGTGGCTTTACTCCGCAACGGCAAGTAGTTAAAAGGACCTGAGTTGTTTCTGAGTTCAGATCTTTGTTATCAGCTTGAGAGCACACCTGAATTGCCAAATAGATGTCCAAATTGCGTTCTGCGCATCAAACCAGGAAAAAATTTGCGATCCTCAGGTGTAAGGCTGAAATTTTCGTGCCGTTCTCAGTTTTCTCATCATTCGCTGTAAAATCGCCCGCGACAAAGATGTGTGCCTTCTTTAAACTAGCACCTCTACAGGCAGATTATACGGAATAGAATCGACCTCTTGAAATGACATTACAACCTTAGTCTGGAGTCGTATGCGATGTCATATTGTTTGCATTTTTGGTAGTTTGTGAAATTTCTGCGCTTGACACACTCAAGTAACTTTGAGTTTGATCAAGTTAAATTCATATTAGATAAGGCATTGACTCGTTGCTTCTGAACAACAATTTTTTACATATTCATGTAAAATTATTCTGTAATCCTTATTATACTATTTGTGCCTAAAACAGGTACCAAATACAGTACGCTTTACTTTATCTTGAAGTGCAATTTAAATTTTTAGTATACCTTGCCCATGCGCTATCATGCTATTTATGAAGAAGGAATCATCTTAAATGCATAACAAAAATGTGTTTGACTCATTTAGCAGACATTAACTAAGTTAGACCGAGGTAGCTCAATCAGTAGGGTGTCTAACTGAAAACCGATCGACCGGTCCTAAGTTCAAGCCCCTGAGTTCATCGGGGTCCCTCACCCTTCTTCTCTCCAAAATTGATAAATGAGCACCACCCTGTGGGAAGGAAACAGAAAGCTATAAGTTGTGATTGCTACATGGCTGTAGAATTTGCCTTTAAAATGGCATTCCTGACTAATGGCATATAGTCATAGAAACGGAGATCAGCTCCGCACCACCAATTTCATAAAAAGAACGGAGCCAAAATGGCCCAATCATCGAGGTGAAGACCGACATTTCAACGCTGACCAACTTTCAACGAGGTAAGTCAAGCTGTCAAGAGAAGGAAATGTAGCCCACTGTGATCCTCTTTCTCAGCTATTTAGATTCTTCTCTATGGACAGCAACAGCTACCGGAAGGGTTGCTTACGTTGGAACCACCGAGTAATAAGCGGAAAGATGTTGCCTGCACTGAAAAGACCGGATGTCATGTCTGGGGCACATAAACCTCAAGTTCTTACAGACAGACCTGTGCCGTTAAAGAGTGTCCCTTCTCTTCATCGAAGCAGTGTGAGAGCATCATTCAGCTGTTCTTACCGTTTCGCTGATATCGTAAGTTTCAGCCAGCTAAATCATGGATCATAAGAAGAATTTAATTATTAGGACGTACGCATACTCTGTCCGTGAGAAAAATCAAATTATGAATATTAGTCTCCTTTGACGCTGCTAACCACTGGGATCAATAACGATTTGCGAACATTGCATTGTCTAATATTAAGGTGTGAATTGCTGAGGTGAGGAGATAAAAGAAACGTTAAGACACTGATGTCAGTGCAAACAAGCCAGATGTTCGTGCCCGTGATTTAATGCTGTAATTGCCTAATAGTACTAAAACTGTATTCAATCTAGCTGCCTTTTTCAGCGATTAAGCCATTACTAATTATCACTGATTTATGAAAATTTTATATTCAGAGTAAAATTATACAATAAAATACTTAATCCCATTTCTAAACCATGATAAGTGCACTCACATAGCTATTTGCATCAGATAACTCCTATACATCTCAAAGATTTTCATGTAACTAAATGACTGATCACGGTGGTTTTCAGATTTTATTTGAAGGGGTGATTACACGATGCGCAAACCCTAGCAACAGCTTCATTGTACGCTTAGCCGACCTTAATGTACCAAGAGTGAAAGGTTAGGCCATGTTCTTCAGGTGTCTCAATACTGTGCCATTTAATACTTCAGAAAAATGATATTTGCTTTTAATCATCATCATCATCATCATCTTCCATCGCCGCTTCTCCTTTCGGGTCGCTGAGGCAGACGCGTCAGACA